TTTACAAAGAAAAGCTTGCTTTTAAATTATATATAAAGAATAAAGACTCAGACATATAATCTGCGACCTAAACCTACTAAATAAGATTTTCTAATTTGAGATTGAATTTTTTCATATAGAATTTAGGTTTGAATAGGATTTTTAAGATTTTAATTTTGTTAATATGTATAATTAATATTTATTTTTTAAGTTTAAACTTTTAAAATTATATTGTATTACTTTTTGCTTAAATCTTCCTATATAAGTTTCTGTTATTTCAGTTTTATAAATTTATATAACCACTAAAACTTATTTTAAGTTTGCATTACTCAATATCAATTGCATTCTTTTGTAAAACCAAGATTACATAAATGCTTTGTAACCTTCTATAATCAATTATTTAGTAAATTTGATTTTATTTATTTATTGCTATATTAATATCTTGTTGACAATTTTTTGTTATATTAGCAAAAATTTTATTCTATTATAAATTTTATTGTTTTATTTTATTGTTCTATTGTTTTATTTATTTATTGCTATTAATATTAATATAATATATAATATATAAAAAGATATGAATTAAAAAATAGTTTACAGAAAATATAACAGTACTATAAATAAAATATTTACCCAAGTTATAGAATCACTAAAAGAACAAACAGGCAATAATAATGGTTTATTAAATTGTTTTAAAGTAATAAATTATTAAAAAAAAATTGTTAATAAAGTTACATACTTAGATGCCACTTTATTACCAACCCTAGCTACAATCGATGCTTTTTTTATTGACATTTTTATTATTGAAAAACAATTTAATGAATTCAATTTCATTACCATTATTATATTTACAAATGGCATCAGCTAAATGTTTTTATAACAATTCTAAAGTTGTAATTAACAAGCCCAAACTTCAGCACTATCTGATTTTATTTGCATCTTTGACAAATAGATATTCGGTAAATTTAATAAATAAGAGATCTAACATGATAAAGAAAATGGATTTTGACAAGTTAATAATAAGCTTGTCAAGATAATTAAAAAAAAAAGTTGTATTAAATATTTGGTCAGGTGATCAAAAATTAAAACCATGAATTTGCATATATTGACTCAGAGAAATATGCAAGATCGCGATCAAAAAACTTTAATGTTAAATAAACGATAATACAATGAATACAATGAAACCTCACTTTATACATAAGGTAGTTACAATAACACGTGTCATACTATCTATATATGAATAAGGTTTTAAATTGAATTAAACAAAATAGTCTATATTCATCTTAAAAAAAATTCGGCGAATGATTCGTGTTTGCTACATACATATACGTACGTATAGGAACGGATCAGTTTATTAGTCCAAACTAGAGCCACAGGTAAAACTAATTTTAAGTTTTACCATGAAGTTTCTCATTGGCTGTTCTATTTAGTTTCACCATCATTTCACCTGCAACTCTAGTCCAAACCTTTGATTTATATGGAAAGACTTTAAAATTTATATTAATATGGGCTAGGTGCTGGAAAAAGGGCCGAAAATGACAAAAAAAAAGATCTTCGGAAAATCAATTTTTATATTATAAAACTTATAATAAATCATAAGAAAATGTAAACTTTAAAGAGCTATACTGCAAAACTTTATTAATACAACTACTTTCATATCTTAAGTAAAAAATGCTCCTAATTTAATTTATGTAAAAAAAACTCTTAAAAAAAATTATTTTCGGCCCTTTTTCCAGCACCTAGCCCATATTTTCTCTTGATATCAAATGAATAGATTGTAAACATATATACATATAGCCATCTATTCAATGCAGCAATGTGAAATGTTCATAAAAAAAAGAACCCCCTCTTTAGAAAATATAGAATCCTTAATTAAAATCTGACTAGAGATGAGAACCGAAACCCGAAACTACAACTTTAGTTAGAGTTTAGGATATAGTCTAGGGTTTATGTCTCTAACCTAAACTTGTAGTTTCTGGTTTTGGTTCCCATCTCTAAATCTGACATAGGGAATATAAACGATTATACCCATTTGCATTTGGTGTCAGCTTTAAATCCATCATAAACATATTTTGCGCTAGCTAAAGCTGAGAGTTTACCCGATTTTAATGTATAAAAAATATAAAAAATTTTAGGATGTTGTCTATTTAGGGCAATAAAATGTGGATTTATGTATTTATGTATACTTAAAGATAGTGATTGTAGTCGATTTGATAAAATCAACTTAGTCGACTAAGTCAACCGTTGTTTTAAAAAGAAAAATTTCAGAGTAAATACTGGAGAAATTAGGAAAGATATATTTCATATAGAACGAGTAATCGACCCGACTTAGTCGATTTCTAATATCAACTTAGTCGAGTCGATAAATTTACGATTTATAACATAATTAATAGTAAATGAGAATGTGTTTTTACACAATAAAGGTAATAAATTTTTTAATGCCAAGATCTAGGTTAATTATAATCTGATCTACTATATAATATTTCACTACAATTTTGCATAACTTTTTTAGTTTTAAATTATAATGTTCAAATCCTAAAACAATTAATTATTGATCAGCATTGTAAACTTTGCAAATATGCATTTAATCATTTTTCAATTTTTAATCACCACCAAGCTTCACTATTTAGCTCCGATTTCGAAGTATTATTAGGTTGATTTAAATTGGTATTGTTCTCTGGATTTGGAACCCACCCACTATTACTCTTTGACCCATTAGTAATCTCTCTAGGTTGATTACTTCTTCCACGTGGCTCTTCCGAAGATTGTGAACTCCAGGGTGGATTCATTTCATTTTGAGTCTTGCCGGGGGCTTGAAAACCAAATGAACCGGTTTGGGACTTGTCGGATTTAGCTCCCCAGGATGCATTTCTTTCGGTTTGTGACCTGTTAGCAGCTTGAGAATCCCAAGTATTAGTTTGAGACTTATCGGAT